TTGATCATCCCATTCTGGAACATATTCCACTATTTTTGAGTTTCGATTTCTGCCATGCTCTAAAAAATGCACGAAATTTGTTTTTAGACCATGATATGTATTCTTCTCAAGGCAAAATTTCATCATGTTGCCTCAAATTATTGTATGATTTGGAGAAAGGAATGCCAGTAAAGCCTGTCAGATATTTAACAAAGAAGCATCTATTTCCATCAAACTTTGAAAAAATGAATGTCCTAAGAGCAATCCAAGTTTTTTCACCTACTGTAACCTCTTCTTTAAAATTTCTAAAAGCTGCAGGGGACGATCGCTTTGTAGACGCTGATGCCTCTATATTCTATATGGAAAACATGTACCACTTTTTTCAGGTGCATAATGTTTCAAGCAGAGATCACTATCTTCGTTCACTAGATAGCAGTATTGCACCATATGTGCATATTTCAGACGCACGTCTTGACTGGTTAAATGTCACATTTCCAAAGTATATTGACGATATCCAGAAGACTTCTGTAGATGTTGGATTTAAAGGTCTTACTAAGGAAACAGCTCATGCGTTACAATTCACGGCAAAAAGCACATACCTCTGTGTAAAATTTTTGCTAAGCCAGGTTGGCTTCTATTATGTTGTAACGCGATCCTTCAGCTCAGACGCTGTAGAGGCCATGTTTTCACATGTAAGACTGAAAGGTGGTTCTAATGATGCCACAGATGCCAGAGCTGCAGATTATGCATTAAGGCAAATTCTTCGTTGTGGGATTGTTAAAGCTTCCCATTCCTCAAACACTGCTGAAAATGTTAACTATATTAGTCCTGCAAATATTTTAAATTTACAAGAAAACAGAGAGAGCTTTATTAAGCACACAGAACAACTCATATTTCCAATTGAAGTACGAAGAAATATTCACAATCTTAAGAAGTGCATCATACCTGATAATAATATTTTCTCGGCATCAGTAGCTTTCTTGGCAGGATACATCATAAAAAAATTAGAAGATTTATTTCATTGTGATGAATGTTTAACACCTCTATTATGTACTAGCATTCCAGGTCCTTTGCTACAATTGATTGCCATTCAAAACCGAGGAGGTTTAGTCTATCCCAAAGATATCTTTGTTGGTATTATTCAGCAGATAGCTGAAAGCATCCAGCAAATGTTGCCATTTCTACAACATGATAATCCTGGTAAATACATACTTGAAGAACTGTATCCACACCTTGTGCAAAATCCCATTTTTGTCTGTGCAAATCACAGGGATTCTGTGTGCAAATATATAATCAAAACGACTGTAAAGCCAGTTCTCAGCAATCTTTGCTTGGAGACCACAGATTCTGTCAAGAGATTTGCATTAAATTTTAAACCTAAAAGTCGAAAAGTATTGAAATTGTAACTTTACGTTAATATTATTGTTTTACTTACTGTGTTTTGTGATAAAATTAAAAAAAAAACATTATTATCTGAACCAAACTGCTTTTTTTATGCTTCGAGTAAAATTTGTTGTCAATGTCAGTTTCAACTTGACAATTAATTTGACAGAAATAGCACGAGATCTGTCGTGTGAGGGCGCCACAATATGCACTAGGCGGCGGAACATTTTTTCTAATGGAAAATCAAAAATTGAAACGGCCGTATATACACGTTAGTGTATATTAATGAAGTCGGCCATGCCTAGCCAGAGGATCACCACATTTTGCACTTCTTACGAGATTTGAGTTGGAGGATCTGAATACAAGACGAATAAAAGCTTTGTTAATCTTTCTTAAAAAGTTAGTAAATTTTCATATTGACTGTTCTGATCTTCTCAGCCGAAGAGCAACCCCCCAAGACACCTCCATCTTTTGTATTACAATTTGCAGATTAGATAACACAGGTTTTGTCTTGTTCTTCATAATGTTTGCAAATGAAGGCTTCTTGTCACTGTTCAATGAAACTGTAGCAAGTTTATTGTCTGCTAGTTTCAAGAAATCAGTTTTTAAATCATCAAATATTCCGTTTAAATTGTTGATTAATTCAGAATATTTCTCTTGAAGTACACAATTTAGCTTCTCCATATCAACAGTAAAACATTTCTTGCTACACTCAATACAATATGTCCAGGATAAACCCGAAACAACATTCAAATTATCAAGAATAACATTCGGAATATTAACACAAGACTTACGAAATCGTCGTCCATACACACCGGAACAGGTTAAACTCGGTGAGTCTGGATGAATAGCCCCCAGGCAACATCCACAGTTATTAAGCATTGTATAGAGGGCAATAATAAAAAAAAAAGAAAAAAAGAAAAAACCGCACAAGATCGACTAAATGCAAAATGCAGTTGGTCAAATTAAAGCCACCTTTACGACAAACTTAATCTCTGGAAAAATCTAAATCTAAACTAAGTCAAACATATTACTGAGTATGAGCTTTTAAAATACGGTGCTATTCTTTACATCATACCCATTAAAGCAAAAGAATTACACGTCCTAATTGCAATAACTCACGCCGTACAATGCATGAGCGCAAAGCGCCGCCTTAACCCCCCCCCCCCCCCAGAGCGACAGTGTATCTCTGCAAAAATAACTAAAAATAACTGAGAAACGATACCGAAATGAGAATCCAATAGCTTTAAATTACCAGTGTAATAAGCAGAGGGCGGTGACCGTGGAGTTAGGAACTGTGCGGACCACCACATGTATGCACATGACCAGCGCGGCACTGTGTCGATCAATTCGTTGGCGGACTACACTGCATTTGGATCGCAGTCTTATCGCTTGTTTTTCAGGTGCAATACGCACCTGTATACATAGGCGTCGAGTACTCCTTGCGCATCAACCGCTTGGAAGTGGCGCAGTCGGAGCAGTATTCATTCGTAAAATAGCAAATTAGTAACAAAAATGTGTTTAACAACGGCATGACAGAGCTAAACATTAGAACAAAATACATATGACAATTTGCTCCCATTTTTTAATTACGGTCCCACAACCAGTTGTGACGTCGATCGTTCATGTTCTAAATTTAAAGACTTATTAACCCCCAAAAGAACACATTTTACACAAGAAAATCTCGAGCGGGCGCTAGACCTTGAGCGCACTGCGAAAACTGTGTGTACGGCTATGGATTAAAACGGCTTCGCCGTTCTCTAGTAATAGTAACAATATTCGCACTTAATTATGATGTCCCACAGTACACCAAACAAAAATTTGTGCATTCAACAGTCACAAATTTATATTTAATAGAGGTTGCTAAACTTACCAAATCAGAATGAAAACGTAGCGCTCACTTAACGTGTAACACAAGCAAATCACCACCGAACATGAAGCAACAGAGTACACACTGGGTAGAAAAAGAGGGCCGCCACCCAAAAAAGTACGCCCGCAAAAGCTATGACCATAACATTTTTCGATTACAGGCGTATGGTATATACCCATATGGTCCCACATGATACTAGGGTAAACGCAAATTATTACAAAGGAATTTTGCATTAGTTGATGAAGGATTACATTCCTAGAAAACGACCCGAAATTGAGGGAATCACGATAATGCTCGCCCTCACGTAGGTAATATTGTGACTGAATTTTTGATCAATAAAAATGCCAAATGTGCACCGAATTCTCCGTACAGCCCTGATGTAGCCCCATGCGACTTCTATTTGTTTCCCCATCGAAAAAAAGAGGCTAAAAGACGGCGCTTTCAAACAGAATTGGATGGTGTTAAGGCATTTGAAGCGATTTTGAAAAGGTTCTCAAAGAATGGTTTCCGTCATGTCTTTGAACAATGGCAACCGTTGGGATAAAGTCATTGCACTACAAGGGGAATATATAGAACCTGACAGGAGTATTATTGTTCAAGAATGATAACACAGTCGAACAATTTTAGAAAAGTTTCTTGTTACAAGCATTCTGAAAATGTATTCTGGAAGATGATTTTATGCTGAATAACTATCTAATAAGACATTATGCCTACGTCGTCAAAAAAATTTTTTTGGAGACTGTTTATAGTTCCAGTTAAAGGTATACTATTGCATAATGGGAATAAATATGCTGCCGACTGCATACTCCATACATACTGTAGAAACATATGAGAATATTCAACACTTGTTAAAATGTATTAACGACAAAAAGTTTGAGTGCAATTTGATAGGCGATTTAAAAATTGTAGCTTTAGTAACTGGCTTCCAATGTGGATATACCAAGCATATGTGCTTCTTATGCAAGTGAGATATAAGAGAGAAATCATTTCAACATCTGAAAACAATATTTCCTAAGCTTTCTGCTGCTAACATAAACCAAGGTAAAAACTAAAATATTACAGTGAATTTCAGTTTTCATATTATGTACGTTTTTTATATTTAGGAATTTTCATTGGGCCTGAAATTCGAATGAAGGATCAAATGTTCTACGCCTATTTGAATGATCCGGAAAAATTTACTTGGGAATAAATTAGCTTAGTGATCAGAGAATTTTTAGGAAACAAACGTTCCACAAATTATGTCTCATTTAAATTTCTTTGCTGATAATCTTTTGATCGAGAAATCAAGAAAGTCGAAGAAAGATTTAAGAGAAAGACCCAAGTATCCATTCTTTCCGAATACATGAGGCCTTTATCAAGAGTTAGATCCTTCTACATATTCTAGGCAGGTTAAATATTCGTAGACGTAATTAAATATCTGTCGACAGAAATCTGTAGAACATTTTTTTAGTACTTCTTGCGCGTTTTTCTATGTAAAATTAGAATTCACTTCATTTTTTCTAATTGTTCACCGGACGACAATAAAAATTTGAATAATTTTCTTTTTTGACGACACGGGTATATTATCTCTTTTAAGAGTTGTTCAACACAAAATTACCTTTCCGATCATGTTTAGAAAATGTATGTAACAAAAACACTGTTCTACTGTGTAATTAAAGTTTTAGTAGTACTAGTACTAGTCCTAGTCTTTGTTGAAAAGCCCTCGTACTTCCATCATCAGTGATCTACAACATGTATTAAGATATAACTCATAAAATATTAATTTCAGATTTCAAATTTGGATCCAGTTTTTACGAACAATACAAGAAAGGCTAAGCAAGACATCATTTTTTTTAACAGAGTGCCTAAAGTTGGCTCCCAAACATTAATGGAACTGGTTCGAAGGCTTAGCATCAAGAATAATTTCGGGTTTCATCAAGACCACGTACAAAGGGTGGAAACTATTAGATTGTCGCCAGAAGATCAAGCAGCTCTGTCGTCGTTGGTGTCAAGTTATGAACCCCCTGGGGTCTACATTAAACATGTTTGTTTTACAAACTTTTCGCAGTAAGTAGTGATCGAATATAACATCCAAGCTAACAAGATTACAAAACAATAACGGCTTTCATGTTCTTCAGTGCTTACATTTTCCTGTGTATGAATAATAAACGGAAAAAATTACATTAAATTATCTAAAATTTTATCGTTCGTACATAACTTTGCTAAAACATAAATGCGTTTTTTCTGTATTTTTAGCATCTAAGCGTTTTCACATATTTCAGAAATGAATTTAATGTTTTAAATCATTTTAATTTTAATTCGATAATTATTCAATTAATTTATTTGACAATTTGCCATATAGGTACATTTTAAAAAAATTAATTGTAAATGAAAATAGTTAACAGTTGGTACTTTTATTATTACTTTTTTCTATATTTTTAACTGCATGTCATTATTTAATTATTATTATTTAATTGGGGATGTCCGGGGTAGGCAAGCCGTAGCCGCCGGTCGACGCGGAACTCAATAAAAATAATTTTTTCGGTGGTTTTCAATTAATGATAAGGCAGGACAAGTAGAATTAGGGATTAATAGTATTTGGAGTCAAACTGACATTGTCAATTTTCTATAAAAAAATTATTTTTTCGCATTTCATTCAGTAATACACTAGATTTATGCACTACAAATCGTACAGTAAAAACTCATTTTACTGAATATCCAACCATTACTGCATAGCAACCATTACTGCATAGCTACCATTACTGCATAGCAACCATTACTGCATAGCAACGTCAAATTCATTAAAACAATGACACAATATTATTTTTATTTCACTTACTCCCATTATAGAAATTAAAAATACAATTGTTTAAATTCGAAAAAGTTAAACCCCCCGATCTCACTATATCAATATGTTCTTGTCGCAAGTTGTCTTGGTTCACCACAATTCCTGTATTGTTTTCTTTTGACGTTCCCGGTACCCCGCTAAATATCCTCTTCGATGTTTTTATCTTATTGCCAATGCTTTCCTCAACATATTTTTCAGCTACACTACTTGATTCCCATCCCCCATGCCTTTTGAGCGTTTGAATATCGGCTCCACTATCCGCAAGAAACGTTGCAGATGTTCTTCTGAACGAATGTCCGGTGTAGCTAACAGCACCAGGGAGTTTCAAGTATTCGGCAATCTTTTGCGGCATTTTAGCAAAACTATGGATACCCACTGGTTGCACTGTGCATTTTCCATTAAGGTAAAAGAGGAAAAATCGATTGTGCTAGACTCCTTTCGGTCTTAGTTGCAAATATTTCTTGTTAATCTCATATCCGTTACACTCTCATCCCACAGCAAACATTCGTTTCTTCTTTGTTTTGGTATCGTGTAAAGTTACGACCAACATACTTCCGGTGTCTTCTATGTCTTCTACTGTTAAATTACATAATTCGCCACGTCGACATGCACCATTTAGCGCAAAAACTAGCACCACTTTGATTAACAAGAAAGTTTCATCTGGTGCATCATTCAAAAATTTTGTGACGTTCTCTATGGTCAAAACTTTTGACTTTTTTGGCAAATAAGTATGGTTTTGACGTTTCAGGAAAGCAATTAGCTTCTTGTGTTGTGATATATCAATATTTTCATTGACTTGGATGGTACTTTTTAACATTGAGTATGTAGACCATAAGCTGGATGCCTTAAGGACTTTTGCCTAAAACAATTAATGAAGAAACATGATTACTGATATTAAATACCATACCTTTTCATAAAAATACGCCAGCATCACATTTTCGTCAAGGTTCTTCACTTTTTTCGCTTCCCGCCACTGGCAAAATACTCCATACGTCTTCTCGTATTTTTCCTTTGATTTCGCAGGGAGCAGACTCGTGCAAGCTTCGCGGGCAGCGTTCAAAATATCCTCACTTAAGGGAATATTCCGTGAATCCATTTCTGATTTAGTTTAAAATTGTTTGACTGTTGTTGTATGCGAAAAACAAGTTCTGCTTGGTTGTTACGTTATTGAAAAGCGTTACCTACTATTATTTTTTATTCGTACTTGACTTTTACATAATATTTAAAATTATTAACGCAAATAATATCTGGTTATGAAATGCGAAAAAATAGTATAGGCGCCTCGATAGAAAAGTCTTTTCACAACTCGTATGGTTTTTAAGTTACTCGTTCGCTTCGCTCACTCGTACTCAAACGAACCATACTCGTTTGGTAAAACTTCACTTTTCTACACTTGGCACGTAATGTACTATTAACAATTCGAGGTCGAAAGATTCGAGATGTTTTTGTACATCCTGGCACGTAAAATGTCAGTGGTTAACGAGTAGCGGCCATACACTACGAAAATATATAACACAAAGGTGTAGACTCAAAGTATTTTGCCGATCCGAAATTTTGACCCACCAGCCGCCACTGGATTATAATGTCATCAAAGTACATGTAGACTCCTGGAATATCTCCAAAGTGATGGGTTGCGCCGGCCAACTTGGAATTGGTCCCAAAGGGTTTAGTTGACGTGTTTCAAAAATCCCTCTTAAGCCTCATTATGACAGTTCTCACTTGTCACATTAATGCATAATGTCTTTTGTAACCTGTTATTTAAAGTCGTCGTTGTTATTGTTTTAACGTTTTTCAAGTGCGATTCACAGTAATTCTTGTTGATCCAAGCTCAAAACAACACAACAGTAGTTTTCAAAACTCTTAGTTGTTGCGTACGAAAATTTTGTTTTTGTGCTAGGAAGCGAAGACTGTGAGGTTTATTCTGTTGAACAAGACACTTTCATCGTTATGACTTATCGCAATGGAACTTCGTAAACGAAGAGTTTTGTATTCTGTAACCGCTTGTCAGTAAGAATATGTGGCCAAATACCGCCCAGTAAACACAGTTACATCGTAGCGATGTTAATGCCACTTTACTCTGTCTACGATCTTGTTAGCTGTTACATCTCGGACTGCGCACATACGCGTTCCCTGCGCTATGTAATGTAATCAACAGTCGCCCATGCCTGTAACATAATGGTGACATCCACATTGTTTCAGATTAGAGACGTGCTCGCTGGTACATCGTCATTACGTTGCGTTAGTACGTTGCTAGATTCTCTATACAGGGTTATTCAGCTAAGATGACCTATTTATGTTTTTAAAATAGGCAACCCAAAATACCGATTCCACCTGAATCTGGATTACAAAAAATGTTTCAAAATTAAATTGTATCAAAGTTTGCTAAATGTATAGAAACGTCAGTGTTGACGTTGGTCAGTGTCAGAAAAATGCATGTGCATTCAATAACGAGATGATCCTTAGTTATGGACACGTTATGGACAATGACACAAAAAGGCTAGGCGTACAGCACAATTGTATGCCCGAAGATGCTCTGACCATGTGGTTCCAACATCCAAAATTTTCAAGAGGCTAGAAAATTCGTTGCGTAAGAAACTGGCCTGCTAACAAGAGGAATCGGAACCAGACTGCGACTAGCTTGGAAAATGAAGTATATATAATTTCTTGCACAAGTTAATGAGTATCCTCATATGGGAGGGAGTTATGGAACAAATTGCTATTGTTATACAAATAAATAAATTTCATCCTAACCGCTCTAACCATCTGCACCTGGAGCATGCACTTCGACCCACAAACCAACCACAAAGATTGGATTTTTATAACTTTATAAGAAACCAAATGCAAATTAATCCCAATTTTATTGAGTGTGTTTTGTTCAGTGATGAAGCCAAAGTCAGCAATTTATTATAGCTGCATGACAGTCTTAAATTTATTGAATGTGTTTCGTTCACCTACCAGGCAATAAAAAAATACAATTTACCCACAAAAATATCTTTTAGCTTCGGCAAACACGTCGGTTTTCTCGTTAATGTCGTAACAATGCATAGGCATTTTTCTGACACTGACATTTCTATACACTTATAAGTAGAGAGCGGAAAATATGCAGCAAAATTTTGAGAAATATGATCATATGATATGCATCAAATTTATGCAAATATGCAGTAACTTTCTTAATATATGCAGAAATATGCAGTTACGTATGCTCCAAAAATTAAAAAAAGCTTAATAAGCGAACTAAATTTATTTATAAAATTCAAAAACAGGTTTCTCAAGCTTACGTTTTATTACAAAAAATACATAAATCACATTGCAAAGTGTCTAATTACATCTCACTAACACATAAATCACGTTTTCAAAGATACTATTATTGTTATTGTTTTCGGTGTGGTCCATTAAAGATTCCTTATTAGCAGAGCACGGCGAAAAACGTACCTTAGTACCTTATGGGTCGACGCGCTGCAAACGAATAAACTAACTCTGCTTATTAATAAACTTAAGTCTATTGGTTTATGTAATAATTTGTTAAATTTATTTAAGTTTTTCTTAAGTGATCGTAAACAGTTTGTTGAATATAACGGTTTTAAATAGCACACTTACATCACATCCAGTGGCGCAAGGATCGAATCTAGGACCTATTTTATTTGTTGTTTTTTTCAGTGATACATTAGCGCATTTTAATTGTCGTGTTTTTGTTTATGCGGATGATCTTATCCGGGAACGCTAGACGAGAGACAAGTTTGAATTGGGCGCCATTTGTTGCCTTAAACGCAACCAGCAATTCTTCTTTAAATCAACCTGACGCGCTGGGATAGACGACTACCGGACGTGGGTCATAAAAACATCGTAAGCCAATAATGAAGAATAATGATAATTTATAAGAGGCGAGGCGGCCAGTGAGGTGGGAGATTAAAGAGAAGCCAAATAGTTCCACTTTGCGCGTAGCCATCGTAGTAGACGTAGCTCTAACTCCCTCTCAGTCAGTGCTTTTTCAGTGACGTGAGGAGGTAAAGGATAGAAAACATAACCAAATTGTTGTTTTGTGTGTGATCGCGTATATTCACCGGGTGGAGAATTTTCATTTCATAAGTAAGTAATGCGATTTCATTTGAATACATAAAAACGTTAATATATACAAAATATATATATATATATATATATTAGGGTGATTCAAAAAAAAAAAATATTTTTTTTTTTCGTGCAAAGACGTTCAAAAGTTTCT